CCTCCCTCCCCCTTCCCCCCCAACCACCGCCCTCTTTTCATAAGGAACAGTGGCGAGGCAGCCCAGCAGGCGTGGGACGACGTGTGGAGGTGCAGCCTCCAGTGTCGCGATGTAGACGGAGGCGCGGCCCGCACGGCATAGCCTCATATGACTTATATGACTCCCTTCTCGCTGCTCCAACAAGAAGCGCGGAGCAGAGAGGCCCTCTCTCTCCTCCTTGTGGTGTGCGGATCCCTTTTTATTATTATTATTATTTCCCCCGGTGCGTCACCTCCAGGTCAACAGCATTATATGAGCGCGACACGCGGCGACACCACACATAATGTCGTCGTGGGAGGCGCGACGCCGTTTCAAATGTCGCAGGGCGGGGAGCTCTTCAGAAGCAGCCAGCGACCTATCTTTATTCGCCATATAGCCTGGCTGCTTCCTTCTCGGCTCGCACTTTGACAAAACTGACACACACACGCACACATCCGCACACACACACTCGCGTTTATCTCTGAGTCAGATAGCGCGGGCCCCGCCCCGAATGCGCCCGAACTGTCCGCGCGCGTCCGCACTGCGCGCGAGTCTTTTTTCATCGGAATTGAATGTGAATCGACATGTGAGCGTGCACGGGGCGTGGGTAATACGTGTCTGTCGCGCGGGGAGTCTCGCCGGCATCATATCCCGGAAGTTCACCCAACCCGCCAGCACACAGCACCAATAACATTACGCCAACGACTTTTCCTTCCTCAAAGTTAAAACCCCGTCGTCAAAAAAAAAAAAAAAAAAAAACATTTCACGAGTGGACAACACAGAGATCCTCAAAGGGAACGCCGAACAGGTATAGGCTTCAGCTAAAACTGTCAAAAAAGCAAGCAAACCTCTCCAGAAAACAAAATATTTTCCCAGAGGGGGTTTACACTCGGAATTTTTGTATACAGTCTATTACATATTACGTGTATTACGCAGAATTACGCCGGTGGTACACTGGCATTTGCGACCAAAATTCTTCCATTTGAGCGCACATATTCCTAATTTTCGGTATCACATTACGCGTTTTTGCGCGTAATACCTAGGTATTACGCAAGTTCTTACTCATTTCCCCGCCTGCGTTCACGTCCCGTGCTGAGCCGTCACTCACCTGCATGGTCTTGAAGTGCAGCGTGTCGAAGGCCTCGGCGTGCGTGGCGACATTCTTGAGGCGCAGCGGGCGGCGGTGGGCGGGCGAGGCCGGCGACGGCCCCAGGTGCTGCGGGGAGCCGCCACCGGGCGGGGGCGCGTGGTGGCTGCTCTTGACCAGGGCGCCGCCGTTCAGGTGCTGCTGCTGCTGCTGGCTGTCCTTGCCATCGCCGTCCTTGCCGAAGACGTGGCTCACGGTGTTGGTCACGCTGCTGCTCTTGCGCCGGGCCAGCGCCACCGTCGCGTTCACGCCCTCGTGCGAGAGGATGCTGTTGATGAAGGACGACATCCCGGGGCCGGGAGGAGGAGGACGACGACGAGGACGACGAGGATGAGGCGGTGTGGTGGCCGCGCGAAGGACGAGGTGGCCGTCAACGGCGGGCGGCCGTCCGTCTGCTGCGGGCGCGACTCAGCGGCGGAGGACGCGCGGTCTGCAACACACCGACGACACAACTGGTCAGTGAGGGACGTGAGAGAAGGGGAAGGGGGCCGAGGGGGGCCTTCGCGGTGATGTCCTGATAGGGCTGCAAATACTGATGCCCCCCTCCCCGAGGCGGCAGATGGCAGATGGCCGCAGGACGCCCTGGCCGGGCCCTAATCTATCAGATGTGTGATTATTGTATTGACTGCTCGGGCCCGTGGCGCCGCGGTGCGATGGTGCGCCGCGGTGTGTGGTGTTTGCGTCCGGACTCTATTCTCGACACTTCTCCGGCGATAGCCTGTGTGGAAGCCGATAGGCACTGGAAACCCATCACGCGTCAAACAAAGCTTACTTGTCAGGGCGAAAATTTTGTGATAGTCAAGAAATTCGCATTGGCACCTAAGAGTTGGTAGTCAGAGACAAGAGTCAGTTCCTACGGCGAACCCGTTTTGTGGATGTCGCACAATTAAGTGCAGGTGTGTAAACGACATTCGTACACATGGAGGCACAGGTGTGTGAATCTCGAAGGGAAAATCACACCTTTACCCCCTTGTGTACGAACTGGCATTGCCACACCTACAACTGTACGACATTCACACACTGGGGTTTTCTTCAGTGTCGTTATTGGGCGTGGGACAACAATACAAATTCACTTTCGTTCTTTGCTACGATTTTCGCTTACAAAAGAGTACGCAAACATGTTTCGCAGGAGTGCGACTACGCGGCAAATATGTGGTATTTGTGACGAACGCTTCCACATCGGGCGCGGCGGGCTGTGAGTGGGGACTCTGAGAAGCCCCGACAACAGGGGCCCGACTATTCCTGGCCGACAGTCAGTACGCTGCAGTGGACAGTATGTGGCAGAGATAGCTGTGGCCGAGTCACAGTCGCGGCCTGCCTAGCACGGTGTAGAGTACACCGTGCTGCATAGCTTGCCTAGCGCCAACGGGCTCTGCTGTGCGGAGGGGGCCACCACTGCGACTGTGGTGCCGCCTGCAACCTGAGGGGGGAGGGGGAAGTGTTTTGGGAATGGATTAGTGCAGATAGCACGCGACGAGTTGTGGTGCAGCAGCGGCGGACGCACACGATCAGCTGACCGACTTGAATGAGGTGATGATAAACTGGGCGCTGCCTTAGAGTGATTGGTCGGCGGCGTCGACGTCCGCGTTCGTTTCGCCGTTCACTCTCTTACTTGTTAGGATTTTGATTTTTAATTTTCCAAATTGTATAACTTTTATTAATTTGTAATATTTTTCAAGAAATTCAAAAAAATTCTATTTTTCAACAGAGAAATTTTATTTCCATACACTGAAGCTGGTTTTGCGATACTTACTTTAACACAAAACCATGCGATAACTGGTGTTTTGCGATTCCCACACAGGGCATGATAACCCTCAAAACTGTGATAAGAGTATCACATTATTGTGATAGAATCATCACAAAAATTATTCAATAACTTTCTATTACAGTTTTTGTGATGATTTTATCACAATAACGTGGCACTTTTATCACATTTTTGGGTGTTATCATGCCTTTTAGCGTGGTAATCGCAAAATACCACCAGTTATCGCAGACATTCAGTAAAAGTATCACAAATCGGATATCAGTGTTTTGCAGGAAATATTTCAATCCAAAACTATTGGGGGTTTACAACCCCTATAGCGACTTCTTCTGCCTTTGTCTACTATAGTCGAACAGCCACCGCACCGGTATGAAGGGTACGACAATCTCTTGCGGCGGGATGACCTCTGCCTGCTCGTCCGGCGCCAAATAAATCCATCTACCTGCATAGACGGACCATTTGTGAGGCAAATTCAAAGCGCATCAAAATGGAAAGCCGAGCGGAGAAGAATGATAATCGAAAGAGAAAAAAACGTGTGGTGGCCGTTGGTCAGGTCGGGAGAGAGGGCGAGAACGTTTGAGCTCCGCATTGGTGATTCATTTGATTCAAGTTGGTCACTCATTGTTTTTCAACAAAAATAAAATATCACCATATGCTCCTAAATTCTATTTTATGGGACAAATAAGAATATTCAGGACGTAAGATTCATTCATAATTAACACGAAAGTACTGAGCCTGCAATTCTGTTTATTACAAATATCGTGCACGAGTCGGAAAATTCGAGAATGGGAATACTTAATGAGTTGGGCTACTCGTCACGCGACGCAAACAATTTAATTGCAGTCTGGTCGCGAAAAAAACAACACTTTGACACCACTGTGCACTTTGCAGGTACAGTCACAAAGAGAAATAAGTGCCCTACTAGCACGGTGCAGAGCGCTATGGTCGCTGGTAGTGGCTGCTAGCCGTGGTGGTGGTGGTGGTGGTGGTGGTGGTGGTGGTGGTGGTGGTGGTGGTGGTGTGGTAGCCGTGTTGGTATGGGTCCCGGCCCGGCCGATTGGACACTCAGTGTTTTCACAGGTGCGGGACGTCAAGCGGGACACCGCCAGAAACACACTCGGCCAGCAGAGCAGGGGTCAGTCAGCTGTGTGGGAAGAGCGAGGGAGAGGAAGGGAGGTGGTTGAGGGAGGGGAGTGAGCGAGAGAGAGCGAGAGAGAGCGAGAGCGAGAGAGAGAGAGAGAGAGAGAGAGAGAAAGAGAGAGAGAGAGAGAGAGAGAGAGAGAGAGAGTATTAGGAGGAGCAAGGGCAGAGCCGCACTGTTTGCCGGGAGGGAGTGGGGAAAGGGGAGGCAGGG